ACTATGTTTAAGAAAATATTTTTTTCACTTGTACAAACCTTTTCCTGGAAGCCGTTTTAGCCCTAACTTCCCGTCCCCAGAGGCTGCAGAGCGTAGCTGTGGCCCTGGAAATAGGTGCCACGTGCCCCCCCCCCCCCCCCCGCGGTTCCACCCCTTACCAGTGGTCAAGCTGGGCATCAAACTAGGGACTCCTCAGCCATCACTGCAGGAGGTGGAGCCAGCCACAAAAAGGCTGCCACAGCTTCCCTCCACTCACACAGGGAAGATCCTGGTGGTGCGGTGGCCGTTGCTGCCAAAGCAGTCGAATCACCCATCAGAAACCTTGCTGGGCAACAGCTCCATCTGGTCCCACCCCCTTTCTAAAATCATTTGGTGGGTGCCACGAGGAAGGCATTAGTGGGGTACCACGGGGATCCCTGCTTTACCCTGTCGCCAGACTCCTGTTTGTTTTTACAGCCGCAAACCTACCGGTCTCCCACCATCCTGAATTACGACTGCTGAGTGGACTGACGGCCTCGTTTTGACCCTGGCTCTCTTTCTGTTGTATTTTAGGGCGCAAGAGCACCTCTGCCTTCACCACCCAGTGGATAAAACCTTTTTCTAGGACACATTTCAAAGCCAAAGGGGAGTTTGCATAAGTAGAAGAGTGCAGTCTCTTCCAACGGGGGGCATTGTGCTGGATCTGTGCTGCTTTGAAGAAAGGATACTGACTCTCCACGTTGGAAGAACTGGCCAAGGAGAGAGACAGGCAGACAGACATTTCTCTACAGTGGGCTTGTCCCTGAAATGTGAAGCCACAGCGCAAAGAGAAGAGTTGGCCCTTGCCTTAATGACATTGGAAAAGTAGTCTTTGCCAACAAACAGTGAACTGGGAAACTGGATTCCTTCGGACACCCTCCACCCACCCACCCCCCGCTGAGGATTTAACTGTGAAAGACTGCTGAAGAAATCTAACTTTGGGACTTCATTAAAGAGGGGAAACTATTTAACAAGATATTTCATGTTAAATTATATATTTATTTTAGATACATTGTACATATTATTATTTATTTAGGGCTTGATCCTGTCGTCCCCCAGTTGGGGAGGAGAGACAGGAGGATTTTGCAGTGTAATACTCTAATAAATAACTTTGTTATACATACTGGTACTTGGCACATTAATTTAGGGAAATACAGATAGGAGAAAAGAGACCCCATTTGTGACACCAAATACTGACCTGTATAAATATTTCCTTCCTTCCTTTGTAGTCCTCTCTTCTCATAGACGTTCATGATCTCTGCATAGTTCGATCTTGGTTTTGTTTGGCTTTTTGCATTAATAATCATGGCTCTCTTGCCGTAATCTTCCAAATACTTCCTCCCAGAGTCAATTGAATAAGGTATGGGCCCAGTATATCAGGGAGAAGGGATTTCATGGGACCATTTCCCTGGCATGCTTGTTTCTTAGGTGAAGAAGCATTTTTGGTGAGGAACTGTTCCATTATAAAACACCTTCAGCATCCCATTTCATGCATTTAGTTTAGACGTCTGGTTTGCCTGAAGCTGGGGAAGGTGTCTTCTATGCTGAAAAACCATTCTGTGATCCACGACCCATTGGGCACCAATTAGGATGCAAGCCAGCTTGGCTGTGCCAGATAGAAGACACCTGTGCCTGACCTGGCCCCCTTCAGGTGTACAGATAGGGGCTCCTGTGCCAGAACACTTCCCTGTGGAAACGACCCTGCGCATAGACAAGCAGCATGTCGAGGAGAAGGCTAATGGCCTCCTCCCTGAAATCTAGCTGTCGGTAGAGTTGTGGATGTGTGTGGGAAAGAGCATTCACTCCTCAGTGCTCTTCCCTACAGTCTGAAAGGGACCTTGAGCTGTGGGTCCACTGTTGTGTGTGGCATCGTATGTGAGTCCAAAAATGCTGGGGGCAGGGTGTGTGTGTGTGTGATAGCCACACAGTGCACTCTTTCACAGATTTTAGCTTCTGCCTGAAAAGGAAACCACACAGGTACAGCAGAACGCTTAATTTTCTCTCTTACCAGGTTTGGAGTGTCTTTTCTTAAAATTCTAGTTGCATCCATTAGCTGAGGGAGCTCAGTGCGCAGGCCTAACATGCCTGCTTCTGTATGCAGGTGGCTGATTCATGGGGAAGTCCCAAAAGGATGCGAGATACAGTGAGGATAAAAGTTGCCTGCGGCCATGCTACTTCAAATCAAAATCTCCAAACAAGGCATCATCCAAGTAATTCCCTTTTATTGGGATCTACCAACAATGATGCAAACCAGGGTGCATGCTTTCAAGTGTCCCAGAACTCATTGTGTGGCGCAGTGGTTAAAGTGTTGGACCAGGTTCTGGGAGACCCAGGTTTTAATCCTTACTCTGCCATGGAAGCTTGCTGGGTGACTTTGGGCCACTCACCTTACCAGTTTGGTGGAGACCCAATTTGGTGTAGTGGTTAGGAGCACGGACTGTAATCTGGGAGAACCGGGTTTGATTCCCCACTCCTCCACTTGCAGCTGCTGGTGGGACCTTGGGTCAGTTACAATATCTTTCAGAGCTGTTCTCTCAGGAGCAGTTTCTGTCAGAGCTCTCTCAGCCCCACCTACCTCACAGGGTGTCTGTTGTGGGGAGTGGGGAGGGGAAGGGAAAGGAGTTTGTAAGCCGCTCTGAGACTCCTTTGGGTAGTGAAGGGCAGGGTATAAATCCAATCTCCTGTTCTTCTCTCAGCCTGATCTGCTTCACAGGGTTGTTGTGGGGATAAAACAGGAGAGGAGAAGGATGTAAGCTGCTTTGGGTCCCCACCGGACTGAAAGGCGAGATGCATAAAGTAATATTTTTTCAAATTAGTCTGGATGTGCCAAAATAAAGGAGAGGTGGGGGGAAAGATGTTTCGGGGCATGATTTTAAAGGCCTAGGCTGTCACCGGAGGGTCAGAGGACAGATTTCCCAAATTTGGAAAAGGAGAGCAAAAGAACACTGCCATTGCCTCCCAAAGACAGCTCTATTTCTGGTACATCTGCTCACTAATGAAAGTCATCTGGTACTGCCGGAAAACGAAGAAAATGGCATGCTAGTCAAGGGCCCAGGCAGGGTGGACCGGGGAGTGGATACGCATGACCAGTGATCCAGTCTGGGCTGCAGGCCCATTAACCATATGGTTGATTTATGCCATTTCAGAAATAAAAGAGACATTTCTCTTTCATGGTATCTGTGGGCCGGGACTGTGTAAGTGCAAGAACCTTTGTTGCTTTAAAAGGGGGTTAGACCGATATACAGAGAAAAGGTCCATCAGAGGGTTTTTAGGGGTTTTTTGGCTATCAAGTCACAGCCGACTTCATGGCGACCCCATAGGTTTGCCCACTGCTTGCCTCCGTGTCACGACCTTACCCCTGGGGTGTCCCTCGTCCAGCTACTAGCCTGCTTAGCTTATGAGATCTGATGAGATCAGTCTAGCGTGGGCTAGCCAGGTCAGGGCTCAGCGGCTTCTAGCCATGGTGAATTAAGGGATCTTCCACATGCAGAGATAGCAAACCTTTGAACACTACTGCTGGGAGGAAGCGTCAGGGTAGGGGCAAGTTTGCAGCGGTCCTGGAGAAATGATGCTGTATGAGTCATTCCCTTCTGGATTTCACATCGATACCATGGGAAGGATCAGGCTGGAAGGGAGTCAGGCAGGAAGGGTGCCACAATCCTAGGCTTATAATAGTGTGGCCCAGAGGTCATTTGGGGGGGGGGGATCGCCGTTCCCCTGGGTGAGGTACGGGGGCGGGGCACATGATGAAGCCCCGCCCCCTGCTTCCGGCCGCGCCGGCGGCGGCGGCCGGGACTGTTGGGGGCGGGGGGTGTGGCCTTATGAAACACTTCCGGTGATGTCAGGGGGTGTGGCCTTATGACACACTTCTGGTGATGTCAGGGGGTGTGGCCTTATGACACACTTCTGGTGATGTCAGGGGGTGTGGCATATGCTAATGAGTTATGCTAATGAGTTCCCCTAGCTCTTTTTCTACGAAATGACCCCTGGTGTGGCCTACAGGCTCTGGAGAGGCCTAGTGGCTCCAGGGAAGCCTATACTAGAGTAGCCATGAGGGCATACATTTTCCAGGTCACCCTTTGGACCCTGTGACTGGCTAACGGGATTTGGGTGGGAAACTTATACCAGTCGAATAGTAGAGGGTGTTGCCTGGGTAGAAGAGATAAAAGGTCTTGCCCAGAGTGGTAGCTGGTTCGCTCCCAGGGAGCTGAGCTGGGGTGAATCTGCTGCAGAAGGAGGGGTCCCTCATCCAAAAACGGTGAGTCAGCTTGAGGCCAAAGACCCAGAGAAGTCTAGGGCATTTGGTTTTCTTATTTTGCTAGTTTACCTACCTTTACTGTGATCACGCCAGGCCTCCCTGTCTTCCGCCGTCCTTTGAAGTTGGCTCAATTTCATGTTCGTTGCATCGATGACACTGTCTAACCATCTCATCCTTTGCCGTCCCCGTCTTCTTTGACCTTCAATCTTTCCCAGCATCAGGGTCTTCTCCAGTGAGTGCTCCCTTCTCATTGGGTGGCCAAAGTATTTGAGGTTCAGTTTCATTATCTGGCTTTCCAGGGAACAGTCAGGGTTGATTTCTTTGAGGATTGACTGATTTGATCTTCTTGCCGTCCAAGGGACTCTCCAGAGTCTTCTCCAGCACCATAGTTCAAAAGAATCTATTCTTCGGCGCTCGGCCTTCCTTATAGTCCAACTCTCACAGCCATACATGACTACTGGGAATACCATTGCTTTGACCATGCGGACTTTTGTTGGCAGGGTGATGTCTCTACTTTTTATCATGCTGTTTAGGTTCGGCATCGCTTTTCTCCCAAGGAGCAGGCGTCTTTTAATTTCATGGCTGCTGTCAAGGTCTGCGGTGATCTGGGATCCCAGGAAGGTGACGTCATGGGGTCGCGAAGAGTCGGACTCGACTGTGCGACTGAACAACAAAAACTGTGTTCGTTTTTCCTACAAGTTATTGAATTAAAGTTGCTGTTAAATCTCTTTAATAAAACTAGTTTGTGTTGGGTATTACATGTTGAAAATACCCAGTATATATGGGGTTAAATGTCTGTTTGTGTTGTTACAGGAAATCACATGCTGCCTGGGTTCTCATGCCTCATTCGGTCACTTATAAGGGGAAATCTGTTGGAAAAGGAGTGTATAAAAGGTTCGGGTGGGTGCCCTGGGTCCTCCTACGGAGACCCATACCAGAGGGTGGCAGCCATTAGAGAACCTTGCTAGCCGCTGCCTGCGACAAAGAGGTAGCAAAGCTGTGACCTAAACGAGAGATTTGGTATGGGGTGAGCCAGGAAAGTGTGGCTGAGGAAGAGTGGGGCTTTAAAATCTGCCAAGAATGTGACATGCTTTCGGGCATGAATTTCAGAACGTTTTCCCCACCATTAGTGCCACTAAATTTTTTAAAGCCGGATTCCAAAGAATAATAGGGTTTTTCTGACATAGTCCGGAACATATTCACAGGCGTAAATGGTGACTGCGTGGACCTTATAAAGCTTTAGGCTTAGGCCTGCAAAATAAACGCATTGCTGAAACATCGAAGCAGGAGAGGTGGAACTGGTTTGGAGGACACTTCTGGGCGGGGGAAGTCAGCAGCCAGTCATTGCCGGAGCAGGAGTGGACTGGCCTCTTCATTTACCGGGACAGTTCCTGATGGGTTGCTGTCCTTGTTAGATCGCGCTAACAAAGGACTCTTAGAGTGATTCAGCAAGTGATTCAGCTTTATTGGAAGTAACGAACAAGCACTCAACTCAGTAAGAAACCAGAACAGAAAACAGTGGGAGCTTATGCTCCTTTTAAACATAACCGGGCTAATGTAGCCACGCCTATTTACAAATAACAACCAATGAGATTGCTTGGATAAGGGCCAATGGGAGTCTTTCCCTCCTAGGGAATGGTATTGTTCTGATTGGTCGCTGTTACGAAGCGACCAATAGGAAGTTCGCTCAGAGGAGCCCTGGTCTGGCTCGAAGCTTAACATGGGAGTCCTATGAGGTGATTCATGTAATCATTTCAATACATTACAATTCCTCCCCCCTAAGTTAAGCCATCATCCCAATTGTTTTATTATTTA